CCCCAAAACCCCAAACCCCAAAACCCCAAAACCCCAAAACCCCTTTAGAAATTTTCCAAATTGAATAAATCTATTAAGATGGCTAATCCAGATCACTTTCAGAATCAAGTTCAAGATTAGTCACTTCTCTCAGTACATCTTCATACTGTTTGCTGGTCTTGAACCGGGCGATTTCCAAAAAGGCAGCCAGTTCCTGGCTCTTCTTAAATGGGTCTTGCTTGCATACATCATTGATGTAATGCTGCAAGGAGACTTTTCTCATATCATTCTGGCAGTACTTCTTGTCAAACAGGACCTCTTTTAGGTTGTCCGGAAACTTATAATCAGTACTTAGCTTGGTACTCCCCTCGAAGGACTGCTTGAGTCTCTTGAACAAGCCAAGGATTTCATGAGCTGTTCTATGGATCTCGTACTGGCTCTCATTGCTATCATCAACAACTTCGATTTCGTAGCTGTCATACTCCATGAATTTCCTAAGGATCTCGTTCCTTTCAGTATTGGCAGACAGAGGAGTGATGGTCTTGATAGACCTAATCCTGATGAATATGAAGTCTCCAATCTTGTCCTCAGGGGAGATGTACCCGAAATTGTGGCGGTTTTCAGTGTCCCGATCCCTCTTGTTATCCCTGATCATCTGAAGCTTCAAGTTTTTGACCTTAGTCTTAAGGTCGTTTACCCTCTCCTGATTTTCCTCAGTGATTTCGAACAGATTCTGCTCCAAATCCTTGACTTTTTCCTCAAGAAGGTCTTTTTGGGTGGATAAATCACGGAGCTGGACCTCTTGTTCACGTTTTTGTTCCAATGATTCCTCCTGTTCAGCCTGGTTTTGATTGTAAATCTCGATGATCTCATCTCGTTCCCTAATATGGCTCTCTAAGGATTGGTTTTGGCACTCCAAAGTGGTTATTTCCTTCTCCTTTTTTGTACTTTCCTTCACGAGCTCATCAACTTTCTCCTGAAGTTTCTTCTTCTCAGAGCTACTGGCCTTCAACTGGCTTTCGAGTTGCTCTAGAATGATTAGATATCATAATGAGTTTAGTTAGAAGATATTTTGAGTACTAAGTTGGACACCAAATCTAGCTTCAAGAACTTTAGGATGACAAACATCTCCTGATGGGAATCAGTCCGAAGAGGTCTTATTAGTATATTTTAGTCAAATACATTTTCATAAATTTGAAAGGAGTTTAGGTACGAAATAGAGAACTTAATGTTTCTGTTGTGATCTTGAGGAGGAACTATTCTATGCTAGACCTTGCCAGGGCCCATTGATTTGCAAAAACTCCTAATTACTAACTAATTTGGTCTACCAAGTCCCAAAATAATGTTAAGCCAAGGGATATATCAATACAAAATTTGACTTACCGACTGCCTTCTTCCACTCATCCCTAATCTGATGATTCTGTCTTTGAAGGAATCCAATCTCTTCCTCGTGCTGAGCTGAGCTCTGGGAGATCTTGTCCTCATATTCCTCCTGGATGGACTTAATCTCATCTTCATTCTCTTTTCTAATAGACTTCAGGGTATTCTGGAACTTTTTCTTCTCATTTTCGTATACATCCTTGATCTGTTTGATCTTTTCCTCAGTCTCATTATTTTGCCTGAAGGCATCGGTCTTCCTCATCTTACCTACATTAGCCAGCTCTGCCTCCAGTTGGTGAAGCTTAGACTGGAGAGCCTGGATCATGGACTCTGAGTCCTTCCTGATCTTAGCGTTCTCTTGTTCAAGAGCTGTCTTAGTACTGGATAGCTGGTTAGTTAACTCTCTTAGTTTAAGCTCTTTTGATTCTATTTCTTTTTCGTACTGTTCGACACGTGAAGTATACTCTTGGACGACTTCTTCACTATTTGTATGATTCTTATGCACCTCTTCTTCCAAATGCTCTTTGAGTTCATCGAAGTTTTCCCTGATTTGTTCGATTTCCTTATTTTTGGCTTCTAAAAATGTTTAGTCTTGTAATGTACCCATAGCTTCTGTGAACTCCTTCTTGATCTCTTCTTGCTCGTTCTTGTACCGATTTTCGATCATATTAATGATCTTCTCCTCACTAATATTCCTGTTCTTGAGCTTGTTCTACATAATAAGGCAGGATGGGGTACCAAGGCTTCTTCCTTCTCTTGTACGAGGAACTTCACCTTCTGTTCTATTAGAGCGCGCTCCTTGCTAACGTTACTAAGTTTCTGTTCACTTTCCCTCTTTCACTTCTTGAGTTCCGACTCGAGTTCCAGGACACGATCAGACAGCTCATTTTTAGCCTGATCTTGGCTGAGCTTGTCTAAGGATGAAGTCTTGTAGATCTCTAGTTGTGCTTTGATTTTTCTAAGGAGTTACACAAGCAAATACCTGTTGTTATCCTCAAGTTCAAGGATCAACTCATTCTTCTTCTTAAGTTGTTCTGTCGATTCTTTCTCATTATTGCTCCTGAGAATTACTTCTTTCTCGACTTCTCTAGTCTTCCGAACAAGTTGGTACTCAAGGTCGGAACACTTCTCACGTGCTTCGTCAAGTTTGTTCTGGGTCTCGATACGGTATGTCTTATGTTTTCTTTCCTTCTCCTGGAGTAGCCTCTGTGTATTCTCCTTCTCTCTGTGTAGTTCATCCTTAATTTGGCTAACAGAGATCTTCTCGTTAGAGGCTTTATCCTCCCAGTATTTGATTTCACCTCTAAAGAGCTCGACTTTCTTGTTCAAGTCGTTCTCGAGCTCCGTGATCTTCTGCCTCAAAATTTTGGTCTCTTTGTTTCCAGGAGACAGTAAAGGGGAGGAGATAGAGGGCAAAGCTCTGGGTGAGGTTAGAGCTTTCAGCTCTAACTCCTTCATCTTTGTATCTTTATCTGCTAACTCCTGCTTGAGTTTCTCAACGGTTGCAAAAACATCAAAGTTCGAGCTTGAGTGGAACGATTTCTCAATGTTCATTGAGGATGACCTCTGATCAGATCTATTCGTTCTTACTCCTGGCTGGTCTAACTCACTGTTAAGTAGATTCACATTAAATTCATCCTCTTCAGGCTTGGATTCACCCTTTTGTTCTTCAGAGAGACTCTCGAAGGTCTGAGAGCCATCACAGGATTGAGAGTAGTCAAGATTGTCCTGAAACTTACGAGCATTTGCCTTTGCTTGATTATAAGTGCCCATGAAGTCATTAAACAGCTGGTCGATCTCTTCGCCAACGTTGAGATATGGATCAAGGTTGGCTCTGAAATGTTTCATAACCATTCCAGCAGTGGTCTGATATAATTTGTCAATCTGAGTTTCCTCCATGCCTTCTATTAAGTTGTCACTAAACTCTATCTGAAAGACATGCTTTGCCTCTTCGATGTTAGCATTGACCTCTTTGTTGATTAAATCCAAGAACATATCATGGAAGTTAGGGATGGAGGAAGAGTTAAGGGCTTGACAGATAATCTCTATTTCTACAAAAAGCATCCTCCAATTAACTCAGTACCCTCCTAGTCTAATCGGTCTGGTTGATGAACACAGCTTGGTTCTGATATTCTGAACATCTTCCGAGAAAGGTGTAATAGAGTCTAAATCTGATCAATGTAGAATATCTTTCTCAGCAATTAGCTCTAAATGATCTATTTTCTCAGACCCCTCTGGAGCCAACAAAGCTTGGACTGAAGTTTGGAAAGTGTCCCATGAATTAGCTTGGTTTTCATCTTGATTAATCACCAAGAGGTTTGGCAAGGTTTCAACTAGGCCTTGCTCGCTCTCAAACCCTGCATTCTCTTGTAGGGAGAATACCAGATCGCTTATATTCACCAGCTGTTGTTTTAAGCTTTGTGTAGTATTCTCTCTAAAATTAAGCACCATATAGCTGCTAATCATGGTCAGAAATGCTATGATCGTGTTATTTAGATCACTTTCTTCATCGTTAACAACTCAGCTAATAATGAATGCTTTGATATTGACTCCATTGCTATCCTCTACATCTACAGGAGAGGTGAAGATCTGGACTGCAGACTCTGAAGGTTCAATGTCAAACATGACTTCTTCAAAAAGGTTACGGATCAGCACACAATTCTGGTCCCTTGAGTCACTAATGAAGGAGATTATCCCAAGGGGCTGGAGTTCTTCCACATCCTGCTGTACCTATACAAGGAGTTAGAGGGATAGCCATTGCGATTAAGGATTTCAAAGATATATTACACTTTCAAATAAGGATTCTAGGTCCTTATCCACTTCCATTTGAGAGTGGTCTGGACCACTAAACTTGCAGATATCAAGAACTGCGCCAATTTGTGACATTTTGGTCAATTTTAATATTTAAATTTTCAAAACAAACCAGATTTAGAGGGGTTTTGGGGTTTTGGGGTTTTGGGG